CAAAAGTTGGACACAATTTTCGTCCTAAGCTTTAACCAGTTAATTGAGATTAAATAATTGCTTGCCAAAGGATTATTTTATTATAAAAAGTGGAGATTTCGACGTTTAAATGATTGAAAACGACGAAGTACTTTTTTTTCTTATCTTTCATTGAGTTATTCGAAACTCTTCTAGCAGGAAGCAATAGCGAAGGTCTGGCAACCTTGACTGGGATTTCGGGTGGCTGATGGATTCGAGAATTGCGTGTCGGGAGAACGCTTCCGACACCTTCGACTCGTGTTATTTAATTCCAATCGTGTCTGAGAGCCGTGTTGTTGGCTCCTGGGAAATTATTGTTACTCGAAATCGATTGGGTATCGGCTCACGCAGGATCTTGATGAATTAGTACGATATATTCCTCAGGGGTTGTTCCAAAGTGTGTTCTTGTCGAATATGTTGTCCACTCCCCGTCGTACGTTCAGGAAAACGCGATCGAAGGCGAGCTTCGTTGCCAGCCGGGGGACGGAAAATTGCCTTGGGGTAACGATCGCGATAACGGTGGCCGGCCATTAAACAGCGGCTGAAGTATGCGCGCACATTTCGAGTGCGTAACCGTGTTACGGTTCGCGGGTCCCGACACGGCATCTACTCGACCGATCTAATATTTCGAGTGATGGAGACCGTTCGGAGGGCGGTTTTCGAACTGTTTGACACGTTATCACCTGGCCCCAGGCCGGAATCGTGGCTCGCCGATTTATTTGTACCTTTAAAAATCTGCTAATTGCCCTGGGGCTCGTATAAATTTACCCACACCGTTGAAGCTACGAATCCAGTTTAACCCTTTTTGTCCCACCGACAGTGTTACCGCATGTTAAAGGGTAACATAAGAGGGAAAATTAAAAAAGGTTCTTGTATATTCAGAATTATTGTTTATTAATAATTCAACATATGTATACATCTTTTACATACATAAGACTATCGAAGCAATTTGGATCAAACTTTGTGGTAATATTTTTGAGACCGAAATCCAGTACTTGAAGCGAATTTTTCATTCCTGCATTTTTTCTTGTTTTAGTAACAGAAGAAGTTGGAAATTTATGTCGGAGATAATATATACAATATTTCATCAATTTTCTTTCTTATTTAACAACTCAAAGGTACGTAACCCCTTAAGACTTTTACTGTGGTAAATTAACATTTAAAAAGTAGACACATAAAATACCAGCCAGTGTAATTCACGTTTAAACGCCAGACATGTACACCAATTGTTAGCCATTAGTCTGTGAGATTCCGTGCTCTGAACGTTAGTAGCTGAAATTTTCATAATTGACTGATTAGAGAACCGAACCTATAAAATATTTTATTATCCAAGGGCATCTACAGTAGCCAGCCAGTAGACCAAACGGGACGGGTATAAATAAAACGACCAGTCTACGGCAACTAGTTACCCCGAAGAGTTACGATCGGTAGTCCCGTGATTACTTGTCGCAGCGAACGCGATTAAGATAATTATTCTTAACCGCCTTGAGAACTGTAAGCCAAATTCAATAATGTTCGCGGCGGGAACTGTATAATTCAACTTTAATGGGGACCAGTTGCCTGTCAGGAAAAATAATGGGGGAAGGGGGTAACAGGTTCGAGAGCAAAAAAAAAAAAACAAAATCAGCGACTCGAATTCGATGGTCAAAATCAACTGCAGAAATTGCTGCCTGGTGTGTCATTCATGTGGTGTGTTCCATCGTTCGATGGAAATTGTTTGAAACAATTTGAAGCGGTGACTGCGGGTTGAATGAAGTCATTTGAATCGTCATACTCAGGAAACGGGCGGGGGCCTGCCGGTTGCGGCAGGAGAACATAAAACAATCGCATTATAATTACGGGCATTGTCGCATCGGTTTCATTCTCCAACGATTCCCGGCGAACTTGCAGTTTCAGTTTTGTGCAATTGAAACATACAGTTTTCCGTCGGGCAAAGTGCACGGTTCGCGGCGGGCTTTCTTCCCACGCCGGCGGAGAACAAAAGTCGGTTACATAAATCCCCTGAGCGCGGAGGGCTCGTTCATTGGTAACCCGGGACACATTGTTCTATGAAATCTATAATTTGTTTTGTTTTTTCTTTCCTTTTATCCGTACGTCATCGTCGTACAGTCATCCGATCTTCTGTGTTCTATTAACCTTCTCATGTAGAAATTAGCGTACGAGTAATTAGGCTGAATCATCCGATCCAATTGGCGGAATTTCGGAACATTGTCTGATGGTAATGTCGAAACAACAGGAACGAGGATTAGATTAAATCATTCCTGTTTACCAGTTCAGATTGCGAACATCCAATATTTAGGCCCAAAAGTGGATGCTGTTACTCAGGTCAGAGTCTAAAAATCCAATAGTTAGGCCCAAAAGTGGATCAATGAAGACCATCAAAATATCTGTCATGTGTCACCAAACTGCATTTCTTCCAAAGAATGAAATTATCTAAAATTCTCCATTCCAACGAGTGTAATTTAAGACATTGTCCAGCCCGGAATAGTAACAAGAAAAGACGACAGCCAGATTGGGTTAAGGAAAGAAGCTGAGGGGGCGTGTAGTCCCAGTCGAAACGATCGCGCCGATTTAAAAACTGGAGCCATAACCGACCCGGGGGCACGGCCCACGTGGCACTCCTTTCTTCCCGTCCTCGTCCCAATAATTAACCGTGTTTTGCACGCCTGGCGCACGAGGAACGCGCGCGCGACCAGCCGGGGAACAAAAGGCCAGGCCGCGCGAGGTCCTAATGGTATCTGAATGAGAGACTATTCCTCGAGGACCTCAGGTCGTCGTTCCTCGTCCCGGATAATGGATTCGGTGTCATCTAATAATTAATAGAGTTCTTCTTGGTGCTGCCGCGCGCTGTCCCATATATGCATATATGTATATATACATATATATATATATACATATATACATATGTGTATGTGTCTGTGCTGCGTACCGCCGGCAGTCTCATTCATCACGCTTTCTAACCCCTAAGCATTTTAATTAAGGCCAAACGTTGTTTTTCTCCTCTTTTTCTCATCTTTCTTTTCGTTCCATCGTCAGCCGTGTGCCTCCCTTTTTTCCCTGGCGATTTCCAACAAGCCACAACTGGGCATTTCTGTTGCTCTCTTTAACGTAGATCACCCGGGCGCGTTAATAAGTTAATCGGTGGATCGTTGTGATTTGATCATCGTCGATTAACCGATTACGGTCAGGGGGAACTGGGTTATATCGACGATAAATGTCCCAATCGAGGAACAGACCGTTGGTAGCCGTTCTTTTTCTGTCGAAGGGGGTAGGAACTTTCGCTTTTATTCAATAAAATTTCGTTTAATGGACTCTATTCAGAGTGTATGATCTCTGCGGACCGCGGAATTAGGGCTCCTACGTGGCCCAGCCGCGTTTTAATACCAGGCTCGTTTACCTGGTCGTACGACACTGTTTCAGAAGCCGATTCGAGGTAAGAACTGGTCCTGGGTCCGTTGCGTCGCGTTCATCTCGTTTCTCGACGGGACTGGCGAACGACTGCCGTTAAATATACGCGTAGGAATAATAATTATTCGCTAAGTATAGGGCCGCGAATGGCCGCGGCCGCCGGTGTCTTTGACAAGGTGTTCCGTACTGGTCCCTCGGGTATGGGGTCCCATTCCCACGGTGACCGGTTCAATTAAACAAAAACAGTCCGAGGCCGATCCGTAACGTTTGATTTTACGTTTGTATTTGGTTTCGCGAACGATCAGTGGCGTCGCCGTTGTCCACCTCTTTATTTCACTTGTCGTCGAATTTTTACAATTTAGGTGCCCAATAATTAATCACACGGATTGGAGGTAAAAAAGAAAATTGCAACATTGCTTCACGAGGTGATACGTTTAATCTTCGATCATCTAGAAAGATTAATTTCAAGCATATTTCCTAGGATATATGGAAATTCTTTGTCATATTTCTTAGGTGGAATGAATTCCAGACAATTTTTTTATTGGGTTATTTTATGTTACATCCTCAATGGGTATTCTTTATCGATCGGTTTCCTAGATAAACGAATGGAATTACGAGTGTTTGATGTTATTTCGAGCGTTCGGTTGATGGGATTTGTTTACTACAAGGATGTTACGCCAATGACGGCCACCGCATGGTATCGCGTGGTTGTCAATTTCCAGTTGTCATAATTGCCGGATGATTCTTGTAGTTTACGTTGTATTCGAGGGCAATGTAACGGGGACTTGGGGCTTGGAACGGAAGAAAAAGAGTAAAGAAAGAGGACGGAAAAAAGAGAGGGAGATCGGTGCAGATGGGCGAAATACACTTCGTAATAATTATACATATCCGAAAGAATCCCGACTGTTGAGTGGGCAAATCGGTCCGCAGGGTTTCCCCGCGTGTCAATCAACCCTCCGACGCTGGTCGTCTTTAATTATCGAGATCGTACACGGTCGCGCAGGCCGCCTGTTGTTCGAGCCTCGAAGGTGGTCAGCGGATACTCTTTCAGGTCGAGGAATTCCTGAAACCAGTCGAACGTTGGAGAGGCTGGAAACGATTATCCCGATTATTCTGGCTAATTAAGGTGATGCAATTGTTGCTATACCCGGTGTTCCCTGTTCTTCAACGAAAAGGTGAAGCATTATGATATCTCGTATTTTCCAGATCGCAGGAACGTAATGAACTCTAATAAACTCGAATTTATGGTTTAAACTTCTCACGGTTAGGCGAAAATTTTCATTGTTACGTTGTAAATGGCTATCGTTAAACCTCTTGGAACACCAAACGATGGTTGTGGGTAAAATCACAGACGAGCTATTGGAGTAGATATTTCATCCAATGTATTTTTGCCGCCCAATTTTCTGGGATTACATTACCCTATTTCCATTTTAGTCTCACTATCCAAAAAATATAAAATTACAGGCCTTTTAGGGTGTTGGTACGAAGTTTATGTGGACCACCGACTCCCATAAGATCGGTGGTAAAATATTTAAAAGTTTGTTTCATGGCAATGGGGTTTCCATCTGTTCCAGCTTAAAACCACCCCAAAAGGATGGCGTGACGAAGTCGAATCCCAGCAAACGACATCGCGAACGACTGAACGCCGAATTGGACACGCTGGCGTCGTTGCTACCATTCGAGCAGAATATCCTGAGCAAGCTAGACCGGCTCAGCATCCTCAGACTCAGTGTGAGCTATCTTCGAACGAAAAGCTACTTTCAAGGTAAATTAGTTCGTAATTAGAGAATTTTTATTTGAATGTCTATGGAAATATTAACCCTTGTGCACTCTTCGGGTCAATTAAATAATGTAACAATTTCTTCTGCAACTCTGATCTAAATGGGATATCAATAGGGTTCTTATCTATAAGCATTGAAATTTAAAAGTCTATTAATAGGCCATCAAGTCTATAAAATGTTAATTATATATTTCCTCCTATAGAAACTTTTAAATTAATTAGATCTCAAGTAGCTTACCTTATATTATAATCTAGCGATAGACAAATATGTTTCTGTAATTCAAATTATAATTCAGGCCCCAATTTAATTCATCGAATTGCGATGCAATTGTTTATTGAACAGTGCACAAGGGTGAAACGATTTTCCTTGGTTGGAATAAATTTTAACAGATTCACAAGCCCGTCAGATGCTACGATCTAATATCAATCGTGACCAGAACGTTCGTCGTCGATGTGCGGCGTTCATTCAGTAATCTCTTGCAGTTCGGTCGTTGTATAGAAACGCCGTTGCACATTGCGAGGCATTAGCATCCGGCAACATCCTTCGGAACACGCGAAGCTGTCGTTACTCTCTTCCTTGGCAACAATAAGATTCAAAAACAATGGCCGGTGTTGTTGTTCCGCGATTCGTCAAACATCTTACGTCCCCCTGCGACTATTGTGCTCTCGAGACTATTGTTATTACATTGCGCTGGAGATTCACGGAATTTTCTACCGTGGAATCCACTGTGAATTTCGAAAATTCTTTCGAAACATTAGTGTACCGTTTAAGGTAGCTTCCGTGTTTGGTATCGTGTGCAGCTGTGGCTCCAATTGTCCTTTATACTTTTTATCAATTTTACCAATTTAATTTGAATAATTAATATTTTAAACTACTTCAAAATACTTAAGTGGAAAGAGAATTTACAAATAAGTAGAAAATGCCGGTGCATGCCACATATTTTTTTACGTTACTGACGCAAGAAAAATGGCAATGAAACTGTTACCTTTTTGAATTTTATCGCTGACCTTGCGATTTTTTGGTAGTAATCGAAAGTTGAAGATATTAAGAACGTTCTGATAATGTTCAACTAAATTTATAATTACTAAAAATTTGCTGAAGTCAGTCTCAATAGGCGAGCAAAATTCATCGTGTGGACGGGGGATAACAATGTTCGCCAATCGATACGCTGAAAATCCGTCGTAAAAAGATAAGCCCCTCCACCCCCTCCTGTTGGGTTATTACGAGAAGCTCACGGCGTTCATTTGCCCGAAGGTTGTAATTTCAGTACAAAGAAGACTTTATAAACCCTTCGTGACGCGGAATCGTAACATTCGCTAACCCCCATTTGCATTGCTTATTCATAATTAGTCCAGATATCCGGCGCAGCTATGACATTTTTAAATTTCAGGTCAGGCCAGATATCATGCCGACTCGTTTCGCAGATCGAACTTGGATAAATTCCGCTCGAATTCAACATTTAACGTTCCGTGTTTTGTTCCATTTCACGACGATGTCGGTGCACTCCGATATCGTCTCTATTTAGTCCGAATTATCGCCGATGGGGGGAGATCTTGGTTTTGTCCGTTCGGGAAATAAATTCATTTCCACCAAACTGACCCATTTTTCGAGCCCTGAATAATTCTGGCGTGAATGTTTCAGATTACGATATTGAAGGTTACTTTTAATATATTCCTGTTTTGTTGTGGGCGTTTATAAAGGTTCGCTTTTATCGTCGAGTAAACAATTTTTTATCGGAATTCTAGAAAGCAAAAGTCTATATATCAACCAGTAATTGACCGCATACCAGTGAGTAACTATTAAGCAAAGAAATGTAAGTTATAAATGAAAAATTCTTAAATATCTGTAATTGCACTGTTAATATCCCATATTTTTAGTTTAGCGTATTAAATAAACATTGATTAGTACAGTTCTTATTAAAAATATTTCAGAAATCTAGCAGTCATTTACTGGACTTTTACACGTTTTGCACTTTATAAATAATTTGTTTAAAATAACGATAAGAACAAGTAATTAGTATTATGAAAATTTCAAGAAAAACAAATGCAATTCAGTTATTTTGAGAAGGATGGTTTAAGCTTACCAGTTTCTAAAATCGTCATACCATAAAAGTCTTCCTTTTTCTTGATAATTGTTACAACCTGCCTGGTTCATCAGTTGTCGAACACCTTGTAGATGTTGTCATGTGGTACACATTGTGAACAGTACGAGTCAGGTGTTTCGGCTTTTCATGAAACTTTTACCATCGACAGAAAGAAACTTCTTCCCTCACGTGAATCACTTCCTTCGCATTGTTCAATCTGACGGCACTTGCGGTCGAACGAAGTTACTTCCGCCTTTATTTTCCGCAAGTACAGGAACTGTGCCAAAGGGTTTCCTGTCACGAGTCACGAGCGCCATGTTGAAGTCGCGACGTTTCCATACATCGTTTCTCTTTTCGTGGCACATCTACTGTAGAACGTCACATTTTACCTGATCATGGAAAAAGTACAAACTACAAGCCTAGTATTTTGTAATTTTCTCAAAAGCAAAATCATTGCATTTTTTGAATTTATATTAATGTAACGCTACTACTATTCTTCTTGCACTTTTTGAAATAAAAGGAAGGCCTGAAGAAACATTAAATGTTAAAACCTTCAATTCATTAAATCACCGTTGTTCGTAGGAACATAAAAAACCTTCGAATGTTAAAACTAATTTTCACGAAAACAATCGTTCGTCGAAAACTAATAACTTCTTCCACAGTCACAAAATCAACGCTCAAAAACCCATCTGTGTTCGCCAAGCGGGTAAACCATTCCGATCGGTATCGACTAACATATCGTCGGGAAAGTCTGCTTTCAAATCAGTCATTACCCCTGCATTATTCAACGAGATCGTAATTCCCAGAACATTTTCGAAACACTCCTCGTACATATATAATCCAACAGCACGTGTCTCTAATATTCCTCGCACCCTGGACCACGTCAGAGCTTCACTATATTCAGATGGAACGCCGAGAGTTATTCGCAATTAGCGTCCTGGCAGGGTTGCACGTGGAGGGATGGCGAACTGGGGAAGGTGTGGGTGGGGGGATGGCTGGTAATGCAGAGGAACCTCCCAGGTATCGGGGCATCGGGCGACACATTCACCCGGTGGAGTCTTCGGAAAAGATCTGAGGTCCGACAATGAATACCTATTAAAACGGTGTGAACAATGCCCCCGGGGGCTGGGCCGTGGGTTTCGCTCTCAGGATCGCGGGCCGGTAGCAACAAGAGCGCTAAGTAGAGGGGCCCGGGCAACCTCTTGTGCCCCGCAGGTGATATACTGCGAGATCCGCGATATCGGGACGTGGACTCGCAGGGCACCCAGAACTGGACACAACGTTGCTCTCCACTCCAGCTCGGTCCGTTGTGTCTCTAACTCTTTCTCTCTCTCTCTCTCCCCGTGTTCGCATTCCTGTTACCATTCGCATTCGCATTCCCGTTCGCACCCGAGAGAGACTACGATCCGGATTCGTGTCCATTACCTTGCATACACCGCGACCCGCTCGCGTCGTTCACTCGACGTTCGTTCGGTACGGGCTCTTCCTTTATGGGGGGAAAAGAAGAGGATTCGATCTTGAAGAAAGTGTCCCTGAGTCAACCGAGAGCCTGGGCCGTCTCCTTGGTGAATGGGACTACAGTTGGTCGTAGTGGTTCTGACTTTGTGAACAATTTTAGGGTGGTTACTTTGAGCAGTTGGAGTCTGCTGATCCTTGGAGTTGTTGAACCTCAGATGGGGATGGCTGGAATTGTTCTATTCTTGTTTTGACTTCGTGAAAAATCGTGGGGTGCTTATTTTTAACCCTCTTGTTTGGGTGTTCATCCTTGGACCCCTGATTGCTGAACCTCGGATGAGGATAGTTGGAATTGGTATACCCTGTTTTTGACCAGTGCAAAAGTTCTCTGATTGTTTCAAGCCTCATAGATAAACAGTCTTCTTAAGCGTATTCAGCGTACTTATTACATCGATAAGTTCTGCAAAGTATAGAAAACGAAGCGTTGTTATTATCGTTGTACTTGTTAACGTTCAGTTCTCCTACGAAGTTACCAGTAACTAGAGTTGGTTTAAAGTATGCAACGTTTGAAGTGATGGCCGTGTATAGACGGATGATAAGTATCTAACATTTCAGTGTCTAACTACTTAATAACCCAGGTTGTAAGAATGTAGCACATCAGACCCTAACACTCCAGAGCTTCATATCCTGTCACATTAAGTCCTAAGGGCCAACCGTGTACCATCTAGATCCTAATCAGGCAACATCTACATCCGAACTGCTTACCATCGGAGGCTCCAACACCAATACAGAATTCTATACATAATTTTATACTGCATCAAGAACTTAGAGCTTCAGGTGGGCCAGTGGTATTACCCACATTAACAGTAAATTTAATGAACTCTGTCCAGAAACTGATTCAACATTCACAGATCACTCTTAAAGTCTATGAAATTCGAAGAATTGGACTATACTATAATATATAGCATCAGTATAACTGGTCTAGTTGATCAGGATGGCAAAGAGACTCGATCCAGGGGGCAACAAGCATTCGGGACACCGGTATTATCAGAGTTTCCCCGGTAGTCAGGGAGGGAGGGAGGGTGGCGATCGTTCGTGGCCAGGTTCGCAGTACTTAGCGGCGTTAAATCGATAAAAGTGTAGGAGCCGCATTACGAGGGTTTCGTGTGGGCACACTTAGAGGCCGCGCGCACGTTCGTCGTGAGATTGGAGTTGCAGAAGGCAACTCCAGACCGGGTGAGGAAGATAATGGACGGGAAGAAAGAGGGAACGTCTGCCCATTATTCCGCGGCGATTCTTCCGATTGGCCCCCACCTGATTGCGATTGCAGATGAGATTGCACACCCGCGGCGCAGGGAACCCGCGCGCTGCCCGGAGTTGCATAATTCTGCCCTGCTCCATAAAACTTTCCCGGTTCAATCGGAACGTTCGACAACGACCAATAGG